TTCTGCTTTCAGAGATATAATTGACATTTTCCAAATTTTTAGTGGTTTTTGTATAATTTTTCATAGAGAATAACTTCACGTTTCAAAAACAATCAAAGTAGGCTTTTTGGGCGGCCATTTTAAAGTTGGGCAATCCAGCAGGATTTCATTTATCTTCAAGATGACCATGACATTTTGTTATCATAAAACTAGAGAAGGATAATTTTTGTAGTTTCGTAGTAATATATAAACACAAGACAAACACATCACAAATGTTTGACCGTTGTCGCCATATTGAATTTGTTTTGTTAGATTGCCCTAGTGCGTTTTGGTAGTGTTATACGAAAAATAAGGTTTTTTTGTGGTGCAAGCCAAGGAACTGAATTATTGGTAATTTTTATTAAAAAAGATCTGATTTTTCATTATCAAAAAAAATGAAAATTCTCTATTAGCTAACTTCACGTTTCGACAACATCAAAGTAGGCTTTGGACGGCCATTTCAAAATGGAACAATCCAACGACCTGTCAAAACATAAATTTAATATGGCGGGAACGGTCCAACATCTGTGATGTGTACCTTATTTGCTTTTTATTTATACATTACGTAAATACTCAAATTATCTTTTCGAACAATTGAAAATCTCCTCAAAAATCCATAAATTACATACTGAGAATACAGTTGTCTGAAAGTAACAGTAATATTTTTGGCGACAATTTCATTGTTCGACCATAACTGTCACATTGGGTTTTTGATATTTCTATACATAAACACATATTGTAGATGTTTGACCGTTGCCGCCATATTGAATTTGTGTTGTTAGATTGCCCTATTGCGTTTTGGTAATTTTGCACGAAAAATATTGTTTTTTTGTGGTGCAAGCCAAGGAACTGAATTTTTGGTAATTTTTATTAAAGAAAATCTGATTTTTCATCAAGAAAAATGAAAATTCTCTATTAGCTAACTTCACGTTTCGACAACATCAAAGTAGGCTTTGGACGGCTATTTCAAAATGGAACAATCCAACGACCTGTCAAAACATAAATTTAATATGGCGGGAACGGTCCAACATCTGTGATGTGTACCTTATTTGTTTTTTATTTATACATTACGAAAATACGTAAATTATCTTTTCCTACGAGCGTGCGCAAAGTAGTACTTTTCCGCACGCATTACCGTTCTCAAAGTAGTACTTTTCCGCACTCAGTGCGGATACGGGCCTTATCCGCACTGAGTGCCGAAAAGTATAAATAATTGTCAAGCAACAATAAGTGCACCTGTCGACTTTGACACATCATGACAAATTTTTCCTCTGTTTCTATATCAGCCAACATCTATACAAACACTGAATATAATTAACTTTGACACATTGTCAGATTTGTGTTCTCCACATGCAAGAATCTACAAACTTCTTTCCCATCAAATTTAAACGCTTTAAGATGAACAGCTCTGACCAGGATTTCAATTTCCTGTTTTTTTGTTATGTAATTTTTTGATGAATGAATAGGTTCGCTACAAGATAATTGAAAATAATTGAACAAAATATCGTTTTTTTTTTAAATTTTTGTTGTTAACTACCTGATATGTGGCTCGTAGGAAAAATTTTGTTCCTAACACGTGCGCAAAGTGTCTTTTCCGCACGCAAACACTCATCCGAACTCCGCTTCGCGTCGTTCGTATAACTGTGTTTGCGTGCGGAAAAGTAACACTTTGCGCACTTGTTAGGAAAATAACTATTTCGAACAATTGAAAATCTCCTCAAAAATCCATAAATAACATACCTACTGAGAATACGGTTGTCTGAAAGTAACAGTAATATTTTTGGCGCCAATTTCATTGTTTGACCATAAGGGTGGGTTCCGTTGTCTAACCTAGTTAACCGGTCGGTACAACGTCGGTTGACAGCGGTTGACAACGATTGACAGTGGTTGTTGAAAATTTCGGTTTCATACGGAACGCTTTTCCAATCGTAGAATCGCCGTCGGTTGCCTTGGTGACATGTTTGACATAACCAACCGCGTTCCGTATGGACCGGTTTTTCAGGAACCAGACATTACGGAACGTGTAACCGTAACCAAGGTTGACAACGGAGCCCACCCTAACTGTCACATTGGGTTTTTGATATTTCTATACATAAACACACATTGTAGATATTTGACCGTTGCCGCCATATTGAATTTGTGTTGTTAGATTGCCCTATTGCGTTTTGGTAATTTTTCATGAAAAATAATGTTTTTTTGTGGTGCAAGCCAAGGAACTGAATTTCTGGTAATTTTTATTAAAGAAAATCTAATTTTTCATCAAGAAAAATGAAAATTCCTCATTAGCTAACTTCACGTTTCGACAACATCAAAGTAGGCTTTGGACGGCCCTTTCAAAATAGAACAATCCAACGACCTGTCAAAACATAAATTTAATATGGCGGCAACGTTCAAACATATGTGATGTGGGTTTGTTTTTTGTTTATACATTACAAAAATACATAAATTAGGTATCTTTTCGAGCATTTCAATTACATACAGAGAATAAGGTTGTCTGAAAATAACAGTGATATTTTTGGTGCCAATTTCATTGTTTGACCATAACCGCCACATGGGTTTTGATATTTCTATACATAAACACACATCGTAGATGTTTGACCGTTGCCGCCATATTGAATTGATGTTTTGACAGGTCGTTGAATTGCCCTATTGCGTTTTGTTAGTTTTATCAGTGTTGCCAGATCTCACGATTATTCGTAAGATTACACGATTTTGGTTAGAATTTCACGATCTCACGAATGAGGTAGCAATTCTTACGAATTCTCTCTGTAGTAATACAAATCACTAATCGAATTTAATGTAATCGAAAATAATCGAAATAAAAATCTACTATACAATATTTAGTTATGTTGCGCCGCTCCTGGTACATGATGTGCGCCTGAACACTTAATGTATATAGGACTGCTTATTGAGCTGAAAGTGTTTGCCAAGTCCATAAGAACCCACTATTTGTGACGTCAGCTGTAGACCTCAACTGTAGACCTCAACTCTTGGAAGAAAATGCATTATCCGAGTCCAAAAAACGGATTCATAAACGTCAAATAGACCTATCTATTTTACCAAACAAAGAGGTAATAATACGAAAACTTTATAAGATAGAAAAAGACGCAGAACGCTTATTGCGCAAGACGAGGCAAAACGTACCAAACCATGTTAGACTTATGTATAGCAATCCCTTCTTATTATTTGCACAGGATAAAAAAGGAAGGTTGAAAACCGCGTGACGTGCAACGTATTTGTCAATCAAAAACACAAATAAGTGAAAATCGATTACTTGTCAAGCTACGTCAAGTTATTTATCAACCATAATTCTGATCCTTGTCAGACCACGGGCAATGAACAAGGACAAGGAGATGCCCAGCGTGCAAAACGAATACCTCTCACCTGTAATAGTTAACCAATAAAAATACATTGCCTCGTGTTGCGCGCGCATACAGGTGAAAATAGATAGGTCTATTACCTTTTCTAAATTTAAAATTCCCAAAAAAATTAACTCATAAGAACAGCCTGAATGGCAAGCAATCCATCGAGGTCTGCGGGTGACGTCACCACTATCAGCTGCTGATAGTGGTGACGTCACTCGCAGACCAGCTGCCGCCTCGAGAATTGGCGAACGTACGCCTTATTAGGATGAGCAATCCTGCGGATAGTGAAAACGAGGTTCAGCTTTCAGAAACACCTGCTAAAAAACGGAAAGAACAAGGATACAAGATTTATTAATAAAATGTTTTTTTCTTATGGATGTAAAATTATATTTACTTTATCAAAAATCTATGAAAGAACATTGTTGTGCTTTATTTTCTTACAATATTAAGCAATTTTTAGTCTCACGATTTCTCACGAATATTCTTTCTCGATTCTCATGAATTTTTTTAAATTCATCTGGCAACTCTGAGTTTTATACGAAAAAGAATTGAGGTGCAAGATGGAAAGAATTGAATTTTTAAGAAAAATCTATTTTTTCATCAAGTAAAGTTAAAATTATTCATTAGCTAACTTCACGTTCCAAAAACATCAAAGCAGGCTTTGGGCGGCCATTTTAAAATTGCGTTTTTTTTGCCGTCATCGGTTTTTCTCGAATATTTTCAATAGATTTCAGTGAGGAAAATGTTTCCTGTGATACGAGGAATTAGATTTTCCATAATCTGCACGTTAATATGTCATTTTTCATAGAAAGTATTGCCATATGGTAAGTGGAAACTGTCATATTAGCTACAGTGGTAAAAATTGGCGTCCTATTTTGAAATCCTATATGTTTATATTGAAAATTGGCAAGAATATGGCTGCGAGGGTCTGGGTTCACTTCTATATTCACCAATGAAATATTTAAAATTAGTAAAAATATGGACCTCCATTGTCGCCACTGTGAAGGTATATTGACTCCCTCAAAGTAGGCTTTGGACGGCCATTTTAAAATTGTCTTTTTTAACAAAAATGGCCATAGTAATATTTTGCTCTGAGTTTTCTCGAATATTTTTCAATTTCAGTGCGGAAAAGTGTTTTGAAATGATTTGTGTAGTGCGAGGCCATTTTTCTAAGCAAAAATCTCCAAGGTAAGTCAATTTTTCCAAATCAATTTTTGTTTATTCTCGGCTCTCGGGTTTGTCTCAACAAAGAAAATTCAAGAGCCTGGAATAGAAAAAATATGATATTCACATTTTTCTCTCTCAATTTTTGTTTAATTTATCCTACAATCATGCTTTCTCTTTCTCACTCAATGAAATTGAAGTATATTCTAGAAGTTTCATGCTTGAAATACCTTCCAGAAGCTTTCATAACTTCTAGGATACCATATTTCAATTTCTAAGCCTCAGATTAATTTTCAATATGTTTTGTTTATTAAAAAGCTCAGAAATTAGTAAATTCTAGAAGTTCCTAGTTGCTCTGATCTCTTGAGTTATAAACCTCAGATTCTGACAAATTTTCTAATTAAAATTGAAGAGTCAATCTCAAATATTTATCCCCAAAAGGTAGAAATTAAAAAACAATTTATTAGAAAATATTTTAATACAAACTACAAATAAGAATTTCTTCAAACAAAATAACATATTATTATCACAGATTATATACAAAAGAAAGTCTCCCCGAGTTACTTTTCCTTGAAAAAGTCATTTTCCACTACAAATCTGACGCACTGCAGCAACAAATTCCGCTCCTGCCTGATTTCACTTTCCAACAGTTTTTCCAATAAAGTAACTTTCCTTTTTCTAAAATGATTATAAGGAAAATTATCCGAATTACTTCTAGTTATTCCTGTTGAAGTTGAAGGAATTGCATCATCATAATTGATTTTTTGTTTTTTCGTGTTATTTCTTTTTAGAGGCCTTTTGCGTTTTTTGTTTGTAGATTCTGGTAAAATATTGCTTGTTTCAGTTTCAGTAGTAGCAACTTTGATTATTTTTACTTCTTCAGGTGCTTCATTGTCACTAGCAGCTTTTTCAGTTTTTGGTGGAATTTTCACTTCAACTATTTCTTCTTCGCTGTCTGATCCGTAGGCGGCCATCAAAGAACCTAAAGATTTGTTTACTTTTACAGTAGAAGCACTAGAATTTTCTGTCCATTGGTCGTCTTCAAAATCGCTTATTTGCTCTTGGATTTTTGGGATTTCGAATAAAGTTGAGGTGCCTTTGAAGGGGAACATTTTTCCATTCCAATCGGCTTTTTCGTCTATGAGGGAGACTTTTGGAGGTTGTCGGGGTTTCCTTTTTTTCGGTTTGCGAGCGTTTCTGAGGGATTTTGTTGCTTGGTTTTTGGCTGTGCTTTCCACTGAAAAAAAAAAAAGGAATTTGTTTATTGAAAATTGATTAAAACTGTGATTTTTTTGGATTTGAAACTTCTCAGCTGTTGAAACCAAATTGACATCTTAATCATTAAGATGTAGAGAATTTAATTCGCTTTAATTATAATCTAATTACGTTGAAATCTGATTATTATTAGAGCTGTGACTCAAAAACTATCTTTGTGTCATTATTGAAAAATTTTCAAAATTCGATAGTTTCAATTTTGAAGCTTCTCAGCTACAAAACTGTTGAAACTGAATCGAAATCTTAATTAATAAATTTGTAGAGAATTTAATGCTGAACAAACCTCAACTCTAAAAATCGAAATTCAATCGGAAGTTCAAAAAGTAAAAAAGGAACTTGCAGAAGTTAAGAAAACTATCCAACAGGAAAATGAGAAGAGAGAGGAACTAGAAATCAAACAAGCGAAACAAAAATAAACCAATGAATTTGTGGAGAGCAACATTATTCTATGGAATCTAGAGTATGATAAGGATGTGAATCTCTCAAAATTTGTCGTTTCGATCATAAATTCACTCCTAGGTTCAAATCTTAGGCTAGCAACGTGTAACAACATCTACCCAATAGGCAACGGGGATAAGCCACACCCCATTATAGTGCAATTTGATTTCTTTTTAACAAAAATTCGTGTACTCAAAGACTACAAAAAATTAAAAAATACAAACATCAGCATACTTATGAGAAGACCTTACAAAAGAAGAAAGACATTACAATCAGAAATATTTCAGTGAAGCATAAAAAAGCAGCAGTCAAAAAAGGAAACAAAGCTCATATACGTGGCATCCACTTGTATGTAAATAGTGAGAAGTACAGTGCGGAAACTTTGGAAGATCAAGGAACAGTTGTGGAGAATATTACTGAGCAAAATCAAACAAGTAAATCAAACAGCGCTCCTGCAACTCCCACCTCTTCTAAGCCAAACGAATTTCAATTTCTTTCAAGCAATGAAGAAGAAGAGCCAGAAGATGAAGAAGAAGTGTTTAAAAATACACCTGTAAAACAACATCCTGTTGTACAAAACCTAAAAAATATCGATATTGCTAAACTAGTAAGATTTTTTAATCGAAAGTCAAACAAAGATAAAGAAGAGACAGTAAAGGAAGAAAAAAACAAAACAAAAAACGAAACCTGAAAAAGTCTTAGCACCAAGGGAGAAAAGCTTATTTTTAAAATGCAAACTTACATTGAAAATTTTGAAACTAAATGCGTTGAGACAAAAATTGCAGAAATAGTGGGATGATAATTATAGGTAACAAAAGTTTCAGATCCGGCAACCAGTGTGGCTCTTGGGTTCAGATTAGTATATAGGCAGGCGAGTCCAAAAAGCCCGGGACTAGAGTTGCGAAAGTAAAATTACCGGTAATTTACGTAAAATTATGCAATATTACCCATATCTCGGTAAAATTGGTGAAATCGGTAAAATTGGACGTAAAGTCGATAAAAATACGTCATTAATCCTATAGTCTATTTCATTGAAGTTGATAGCTCCAGTTGAGGTTGAGGACCATAAATTCATTGTAAACCCTATGGTTTATAAACACGTGTGTCATAGCAGTAGAGACTTCAAAATTATTAGGGAAACCAAACCAAGGATGTGCGTTACATTTAAATTTGTCTCTCTTTATTTTGAAAAATAGAAAGAGAAAACATTACAATGACCATGTTGATTTCCGCGTTTGTCTTTCTATTTCTATATCAGAAAATAGACAATAATATTGATACAATATGGATATTAATTATCAAAGAATATTAGAATATAAGAACGTACTTAATATATTTTAAATTTTGATTTTACACAAGTACAAGAATGTTTAATTTATTTTTCAAAAAACTTCATCTTATCATCATCAGTAGGTATTCTACAATTAAAATCAACGCGTTGCATCTTCATCATTGTAGAATCAACAAGATATTATTTTTCAATTATACCAATTTTACCGGAAATTTCCCTTGTACAGGGTGCTGCAATTTGGAGTGTTTCAACAGGCAAAACGTACTTCCAGACCAGATTGACACCTGTCAGAACCCTGCCAAACGGCAGCACTCATATTTTCCAGTTTTCAATATTTTATGATGTCATTTGACATTTTTAACTTCTATATAAATTCTGAAATAAGAAATTTTAAAAAAATATGCCAGAACTGTCAATACCTATCATTTGTTTTAGTAGAAAAAAAATACTCTAATCTGGTTCTTTCTCGTTTTAAAGTAGTTTATTGGTAATAAAACATTGAACAAAGTTCATGCTCGTCACATTTTGACAGCTGTTAGAATCTGTCAATAGCTTTATTTCAAAAAAGAATCAAATCTAGTTCTTTTCCAATTTAAGTTAGGCTTATTTATGATAACGCACGAAAAAGCATTATACTCTTGCTTCAGATTTTGACAGAGATGTCAATTTTTATTTTAAAGTACAGTTATGGCCATTGGAATTGGCACAAATTTTTGAGCGCGCTTTGTATTGTAACCAAAACTGACACAATTTTGGCATTAACGGCCTGTAAAAAAGTCAAATTTTGAGGCAATACGAGGTGCGTTCAAAAATTTGTGCCAATTCCAATGACCGCAACTGTACGTAGTTTTAGTATAAAAGATTTTATGTCATACCAGTACATTATTGTGTTTTTATACCTTAGATACCATCTACATAATTCATTACTTTATGCCCGTGCGGGCATAAAGTGCACATTATGGCCCGCGCGGGCATAAAGTAAACATTCTGGCCCGCGCGGCAATAAGACGCAAAAAACAGTTTTCGATTAACTTATTCTTTATTAACAAAAATATATATTTATTATTCAAAAACAAACTGGTATGACATAAAAGTTTGTATTCACCACGGGTACTAATAGATATATATACCCTCGAGCGACTTACGAACCCTCGGGCCAGAGGCCCTCGGCTTTGTAAGACTATCGCCCTCAGGGCATAATCCTCTATTTAGTACCCTTGATACATAAATAACTATTATATACCGGCAATTTTTTTTCAGTATATAATGAAATAATTAAAGTACTCAAACATTTTGACACTTTCAAATGAAATTCACAATGATGTCATTTTGACAGGTCGGAATATAAAATATTGTATGAAATTCGGATCATAAACAATCATTATGGCACACGCCGTGTTATCAAACTCGGTTAACGCCTCGCCTGATAATATTCACTGCTAGTACCATAATGATTGTCAATTTGATCCTTATGACATAAATATCTATTACTAGTCAACATTTTCTTGGTTTCCATTAGCTGCATCCAAAATCATTCAAAAGTTGATTTGAAGGATACCTCGGATAAATATCGACAACATATAAACAACACATAAACAACGAACTTTCGTTGTAGAATTAAACCAATTTTATGCCCGTTGTAGAATTTCACTAAGCAAACAAACTCAATATGAACCAAAGAGCTATCAACATATTCTGACAGTTGTCAAAATGTGTCATGCATGAACTTTGTTTGATGTTTTATCACCAATAAACTACCTTGAAACAAAAAAGAACCAGATAAGAGTATTTTTTTCTACTAAAACAAATGTCAGGTTTTGACAGTTCTGTCATTTTTAAATTCAGAATTTATATACAAGTTGAAAATGTGAAATGACATCATAAAATATTGAAAACTAGAGAAGATGAGCGCTGCCGTTTGGCAGGGTTTTGACAAGTGTCAAAATGGTTGACATTTTTCGACTTAACTTGGACGACTCAGTAGAAACCGATACTTCGTTCATCAAAATCTGCCATAGTCTTTCTGCTTTTGGATATAAGATTCCAATATTTGACAGCTAACCACGCCTCACCTGTCATATATACAGGGTTGTGCCCATGGTAAAAAATGTTGCTTATGGCATCCCCAATAACATATTTAAATTTCATCCAAATATCACGGGTAACCAATTTTCATTTAAATACAGGGTGTCCCACGGTGGATGGCGTATTAGACGTTTATGGAGAACTAAAAAGCGGATCATTTTGAAAATTTGGCAACCGGGATAAACGACCATGATCTACACTTTAAAAATATTTTTGACCATGCTGTTGCCGCTTCTACTCTAAACTAGTGGCAACATCACTATTTTAAATGGAACACCCCCTATTTAATTGCATATTTGGATTCTACATAAAATTCTGAGCAGATTTCATGTAATATACCCTATACCTAAGTTCAACTGTTTTGGAAATATTGACAGTTGAAAATTGACTTTTTGCAACTTTGAGAGGCTGTAAAACCTGAACGGTTAATTTTAGAGAAAACCCAAATTTACATTCCTATCTTAGATTTTTATAAACTATCATTTGACATCATCTTTGAATTAAATCGATGATTAAAAATTTCAGTTAAATTTAATCTCCGGTTAAGTTCAAAGTTGGTGTCAAATGATAGTTTATTAAAATCTAAAATAGGAGTGTGAAATTGGTTTTCCTCTAAAATTAACCAATTGGGTTTTACAGTCTGTCAAAGTTGCAAAAAGTCAATTTTCAACTGTCAATATTTCCAAAACAGTTGAACTTAGGTATAGGGTATATCACATGAAATCTGCTCAGAATTTTACGTAGAATCCAAATATGCAATTAAATAGGGGGTGTTCCATTTAAAATAGTGATGTTGCCACTAGTTTAGAGTAGAAGCGGCAACACCGCATGGTCAAAAATATTTTTAAAGTGTAGATCATGGTCGTTTATCCCGGTTGCCAAATTTTCAAAATGATCCGCTTTTTAGTTCTCCATAAACGTCTAATACGCCATCCACCGTGGGACACCCTGTATTGCGGGTCCTTTCCCTTGTGCAAATTACACTGGAAATTTTGCATACAAATTGTCAAAATTAATAAGTGGAAATTTTTGGAAATATCCCGGAGAAAATTTCCAGAATTGTCATTTTTGACATTGATTCCCGCTTCTCCATTTAAAATGCATTGATGTCAGAAATCTGTCAAAGTGTATATTATTGACAAACGCAA